CGAGGTACCACCTCGTAGTCTCAAATCACAAAATAAATAACAATCTTTCATTATATCACCGCAGGAGCCTTTACATTTAGTTTTGAAAATTATATTTTTCGAAATAACATCCCGCGTTTTAACTCACCTTATCACATCGCATGGCTTCTAGTAGTTCCCCTACTAGCCACGCGTATCAAGCCCACTTTATCTCACCGCATGCATTTCAATACCCAGATCTTATACCACAGCATGTGTATTAATATCACAACGTATCACAAAACGCACCTCAAGTGCCCAATATTATAATTTGCCAGAGAACCCAAACAATAGCAGAATTTCACAATATGGAGCCCACGGCTCAACCACAATGTACACAAAGTCTCAAAAATAATAACAGGAAGAATAACTCAATAGAATGATATTTCACATCTTAACACTTTGCCTCAATTGGAATCACGACCTTTGCAACTCAATACAAATTTCAACAATAAGATATTCCAAGAAATAGCAATTTCAAGTAAGAACTCAACAGTTAAATAGTGAATACAGAATAAGGAAACAAGAATTTTAACTAAATAAGTAGAGCAATTAGCAAGTAAGAGATATGACAAGTAGACATGTGAAATTAGACTAAATATGATGACTATAACATGTTAAAGTAACTCAATTAAAGCATGAAAGAAATCTACATAGCTAACAACTGAAAATTTCAATATTTAGCCCGTGTCCACACTCGTCACCTTGCGTACACGGCTTTCACATATCACAATTATCACAACAATAACAAATCCTAAGAGGTAATTCACTTCCCCGCCTCACAACCTTAGACAAGTCACTTACCTCAAACCACGCTAAATCAATCAATTAGAAGGCCTTTTCCTCGATTTTCCAACTTCAAACGGCTCAAATCTAGTCAAAATAATTTCACACTATAAATATAAATATAGGAAACTAATTCAAACAGTGAAATTGCGATCTTTGCAAAGAATTGAAAATTCGACCCAAAAGGTCAACCCGAGTCCGTATCTCGGAACCCGACCAAAATTATAAAAACCGAACACTCATTCTATATCGAGTCCAACCATACAAGAATTATTCAAATCCGACCTCATTTCTCCTTTCAAAACTCAAAAATTTAGCCTAAGAAGTTCTATCACTTTTTTCAAATTTTTTCAACTCCAATCCCTAATTACATAATAAAATAATAATATATTCGAGTAATTTAACCAAAATCGAGTTAGGAATTCTTACCACAATGATCTATCTGAAAATCCCTTAAAATTTTGCCTCAAACCGGGCTCTCTAAAGTCCAAAATGTGAAATATGAAATAAACCCACGATCTCAAACTTAAGTTTTGATGCCCAGTGATTTACATATAGTAATCGCGGAAATCTATTCGCGATCGCGTAAGACAATTTCTGCCCAGCTCCATTTTACTCTTCATGTTCGCGTGAAACCAAACGCGAACGCTATCAACAAGTTGTCTCCACTTCGCGACCGCATCCCAGGACGCGCGATTGCGTAGCACGAGCCGCCTCAGCCCCCAGCCTCAACATTCCTTCTACGAGAATGCGACCTCCTTCACGCGTTCACGATTCACTACAAGCCAACCTTCTGCGATCGTAGACGTCCCTTCACGATCGCATAGATCAAAATTCCCCCAGTGCTAACCTACTCTTCGTGATCACATTATTCCACTCGCGATCGCGTATAAGAAAACCAAAAGCACCAGGTTCAGCAATCATCCATGTTCCGAAATGCGCTGAACATGATCTGAATTACACCAGAGACCCTCGTGACCTCAACCAAACATACCAATAAGTCCTAAAACATCATACGAACATGCTCGAAGCATCAAATCACATCGAGCAATACTAGAATCACGAATTGCACATCGATTCAAGCCCAAAGAACTTATGAACTTCCGAATTCTAAAACCAATGCCGATCCATACTAAAACAACTTCGATTGACCTCAAATTTTGCACACAAGTCATAAAATGACATTACAAACCTATTTCAATTTCCGGAATCGGGATCCGACCCCGATATCAATAAAGTCAACTCCCGGTCAAACTTTTCAAAATTTTTCATTTTCCAACCTTCACCAATTCACGCCGAAACGACATGTGGACCTCTAAATTAACATCCGAACATGCTCCTAAGACCAAAAGCACCCTACAGAGCTATTGGAACCGTCAAAACTCCATTCCGAAGTCATCTTCACATAAGTCAAACTACAGTCAATTTTTATAACCTAAACCTCCAACTTAGGGACTATGTGTCCCATTTCACTCCGAAACTCACCCGAAACCAAAACCAAACACCCCCGACAAGTCACAAAATTATAATACAACATAAAGGAAGCATAAATTAGGGGATCAGGGCTAAAATATTCAAAATAACCGGTCGGATCGTTACACTTATACCAGTAATTCATATGTTTTCTTTCTTTTATGGCCTATGTTACAATTTGATTTTTTGACCTGAGATAATTTTAATATTTTAAGATGTGAAATAATATATTTTTAATTTCTTTAAGGTGCTATATCAAATATGATTTTACTTAGTTGAGAGTCTATGTATTTCTGCTATTTTATTATCATAAGATTATTTTAAGATGTGAAATAATATATTTTTAATTTCTTTAAGGTGCTATATCAAATATGATTTTACTTAGTGGGTTGCTTTATTGGTGAGCACCCTCCACTTCCTACTAAGAGGCTGTGAGTTCGAGTCACCCCAAGAGCAAGGTGGGGAGTTCTTGGAGGGAAGGAGCCGAGGGTCTATCGGAAACAACCTCTCTTCACCAGGGTAGGGGTGATGTTTGCGTACACACTACCCTCCCTAGACCCCACTAGTGAGATTATACTGGGTTGTTATTGTTGTTGTTGTATGATTGTAACATCAAAAGATTATTCAAACTTTTAATTTGGCCTTAAAAGTCAAGACCAAATGATTAGTTATTTATTTATTATTCTTTAGTATGAGAGCCACGTATTTGCCATTTTTAGTTGCTTTTACTTAATTTTTACCGGGTCTGGGTGATTGGAGCTATGGAAGCTTATATGTACAATAAACTAATAGTACTCAGTTCAACAAATCTTATAACATAAAATACAAATCTGCTCTCGCCCTGCCCCTGCCCAGCCCCATTTAATATTTTAAATTGTTTAGTTTTGACCCGCCCTGCACTACCCCGCCCCATTTAAACATTGCCCTGTCCCATTAAGCCTTTGTCTTGTCCCGCCCTGCCCCATTCCTAAGTAATATAGGGGTTAATTTCATTCAATATCGTTCAACTACTGCTTAATTCTACTAAAATTACTTATCTATTTTTTGTAATTAAACTTTACCATTTTTACTTCAAAATTATCCGGGCTCAAATCCCACAAAATTCGTATAAGAAATCTGATATAGCGTAAAATATAATTTGAAACTCTAAAAATACATATCACGTCAACTTAAATTGGACCATACCCAATTTAAACATATTTTCTCTTAAACCTGATTTGACCCACATTAGCGTAAAGTTCTTTTCTTATATGTTATATAATAATAACCTTGGTGTAAACATGTCAATCAAGTCGGATCGGGCCCAACCCCGCCCCTTAAAGGTGAGCCCTATTAGCCATTAATTTGTTCCTAAAACAAAAGCCTATGCAATTAGCTAGGCTGATATGTTCAGGAGTAAGGATGCTGAGTTCATTTGCAATTGGATGGAATGAAAAGGAATTACAGAATGCTGAGTTAATTAATGCAAAGTTTTATGCTGAAAATAAAATATTATACTACAATACAGAGTTTTATGTCAGTTATTTTTTGAGCTGCCTCTAAATGCTTCTGGTTAAGAATTGTGCATGTGAGAGGTATCAGATATACGACGGATAGTGAAAATACACATATTAATTAAGCTGGCGCGCGCACTACACTTATAAAAAATTTCTTGTCATGAAAACATCCATCGAATGTAAGCTCATACATTATAATAAGATTACACAGCGACATCAAAGAAGGGTAAAGCTTGGTATTCATTTCCCGATAGTATTAAGTACCATAATATTCCATCTTTCTGTTAGGTTTAGAATTTTAATAATATTCAATAATCTAAAAAAAACCTTGACTAATGACACCTTCTTGTGTGCAGAATCTTTTAGCAACGATGTTGATAAAAGGAAAGCAGATCCTATTCAACGGCTATGTATTTTGAACTTTGATTTACATGGTAAATGAATCAATTAATCAAAGAACAAAGAAGAAAGATCACTCAATCAGCCTTGTCAAAGATTCTCAAGCGCGCAAGAATGGGAAGAGAGCCAATCAAGGATAGAGATCAAATCCAAAAGAATCTGCAGAAGCTCAAATCAAGGAGGAATGGAAGAAGCAATTCGTCAAGATTAAGAATGAATCTAGCTACCATTTTAAGCTAGATTCATGAGGCTATCCTTGGGTCTTTCTCTTAGATGTATATGCCTCACAAGGAAAGGACTCCTAAAATTGCTGCCAAGACTCATCAAGTTATAAAGGAAGAAGCAGAAGAATATCAAAGGACACGCAACTACATCAACTATTTCTAAGCCTTTCTAATTCTTAGTACAAGCACATTATTCTTGAGTCTACAAGTGTCACAAAAGATATGAAGAGTTAGAACACAAAACGAGAGCTGTGTCAACATTGAAAAGAATCATTGTTGCTGTATATCGTTGGTGGTGAACCTACTAAAACAATCACTGCCGTAAGCATTCATCAAAGATCTAAGAGAATCCTTGTGATCCAAGGGAACTGGACGTACGTACCACACCGGTATTGAACCAGTATAAAAACTGTTGTGTCTTCTTTATCTTCCTGTTCCCTTAGTTTATTTCTATTGAAATCAATCAACGCGCAAGGTCTAAGTCGACTAAACTCATACTTAGTCGACTAAAAATTTTAAATCGATTACAATTCACCCACTCTTATACTTTCACTTTCTGTTGTCCTAAAAATCAGATTGCCGAGTCAAATTAAAATATCGTCCATTAAATTAAACAGACTATATTTTCATTTTCATTAAAGGGGACAAATTAAAGGCAGGGTCGGTTAGGAATACACTGAAGAGGACCAGCATCAGAAGTTAAAGAAGGAACTTGGGATCCATCAGCAACTGGAAATGACTGTGGTGAAGTATAATTTGGAGTTGGATTTCCTGTTCCTGATGCATTGAAGAAAGCTCCATTCAAGAATTTGTCTTTGGATGACTTCCAATTCCACTGCGCCCACACCGTTGGCAAAGCATATTCCCTATGTGTTACCTGTCACGATTATATAACGTTGTAATTTCAAAAGCTATATGCAGCGATAAAATCAAGAATTTCGATAAGAGTATTTAAAATTATTTATATGTATAGAGGTAATTTTTTATCATTACACTCAATGAAATCTTTTTCATACACATTACACAGTATAATTTTTCCGATGAAGGGTGTTCAACTGACTACCCTTCACCGTAATAGCTACGCCACGGGGTATATGTATGTAAATATCATCAAGTATAGTGACACTCTACTTAAACGTAGTTATAAAGAGAGTATGTAATAGAGAAAGTACGATGGGATTTAAACCTTAGGCATTTAATTTACCCCAAAACAAACTCACCTCTTTCAACGTCACGTTGTTGGAAGCAATGAAGTAATTCCCTTCACTAAAAATAGTTGGTTCGGAGCTTCCACTAATGGCATGAAGTCCCCAGGGTTCATAATAATTGTTGGCAATATGAACATATCCATATCGAATCCTGCATCATACATACAAACATTCAGCAAAAATGTTAAGAAAAGATGAAATAAAAAAGGTAAGAAATTGACAAAATAGTAATTCCGTAGGAATGAGAATCATCTCTCTCTCTCGAGGAAATTTCGCTTTAGAATAAACTCACTTTTGGAAATAGGATCTTCGCTTTACTAGAAATCATGTGAATGACAAAAACTTTGGAGGAATAGAATATTACCTTGGTATTCTATCATTAAGATAAGGACCAAAATGATTGAATGCGATTGTGACATTCATGATCTTGTCCTGATAAAATCCGTCTATGTTCCCCAGCGTCATCACCTGAAATTGCATTGTTATTTGGGAAGAACGACAAGATGTACATTTAACCATGAAAACATATATATACTATTAATAAGACTAGTTTCTCGCACAACAGGCGTGAATGATTTTTTCATCTCCTATCCCCTTGTGTAATACGGAAAAAATTAAAAGAATAAAGAGAGATCGAGAAAGGCACAATAATTACCCAATTATGTTTGAAAAAGATATTGTTTGAGACTGTGATATCATAAGAAGTAAAAATAATATCGAGGAGACCTTCAGTAGCACGACCGAGAAAACAATGGTCAATCCAAACATTTGAAGAATTTCTTATAATGATGGCATTTCCATCAGTACCAGGCCTAAACACAACCTCAGTAGGACTAATTCTAACATTTCCTTCTGGAGCTCTCAAGCAAATATCTATCTTTACTCCATGAATAATCACATTCTTTATAACATCAATACTAATACAAGGTCCTAATCCTATTTCAACTTTCGCACCTCTTCCATCTATGGTTTTAAAACTATTAATTATAAGTTCGTTTCTTAAATTTATGAGCATATCTTTTTCGAAAATAATCCAAAGTGGTTCGGTTTGAATTACACCATATCGGAGGGTGCCTGGTTTAGGATTTACGGGGTCATCGTCAGTATCATTTACGACGTAAATCGCTCCGCCTTTTCCTCCCAAGGCACCACTTCCAAAGCCTTTAGCACAATCGGCTAAAGCTTGGCGATTGCTAGACCAATTCGGATCTGATCTCCAACATGAATCTATAGGGTTTAGAGTTTTTGCATTCGAACAAGAAATGGAAAACAATACAAGACATGAAAATAATAAGAGAGAACTGGGATTTGCCATGAAAATAATGGGACTATAACAATTTGGGGCACCGTGTTAGCCTTATATATAATCAAGTCTAAGGAGGTTTTGGATGTTGAAAATGCAAATCTATATTGAGGTTTAATTTATGGATGGTGGGATTTATTGTCATAATTATCTTGCATATTCACGGATAAGCGAGTAAATCCCAGAATCATCTTGCATATTCGAGTACAGGTGAGATTTTAATTATGTGTTCATCCATTTAGGTGAATTCTTAATTTTCTTACTCTAGTTAGCACATGATGAACTGTCCTTTTGATTTTTTTAATGCTTTTGCAAACCAAAAAAAAAAGGAAAAAATTTAAAAAATCAACTTTCAAATACAATCTGCATATATCAGCTAAAAAGGAAAAAGATAGAGCAAAACAGTTATTAGTTTAATTGGTGCATGATGAACTACCATTTTGGTTTTTCATGTTTTTGTAAACCAAAAAAGGATAAAATTTAAAAATCAAGATCCAAATACAATCTATACATATCAAGCAATTAAGAAAAAAAGGAAAAAGCACAACAGTTGTTTCACAACAGTTGTTTCTTAAATCTTAGTTAGGTCCATCGCAGGGGTTGTAGACATGAATTTTAGGAAATTAAAGTCCATATTAAATTTGGATAAATTCTCAAATTCAAAAAATATCAAATCCAAATCAAGATTAAATTATTTTAGTCCAAAACATAGATTTAAATTAAACTCAAATTCATTGGCTAGTCTATTGAATTAGTCTTCAAATGATGAGCCCGCTTCATTAGCCCAAGGTCCATGCCACGTGTCAAATGACGTGGCACACCAAGATAAATCAATGACCAATAAAATCATGCCGCATGTATGAGTGATGTAACATACCAAGTCAATAAAAGAACTATCGCCAAATGTCCAAATAACTTGGTTCAACCATTCATATGCAATCTTATCACATAACTTTGTTGATACCTTTAAGGACTCATGTGAACCAATCAAATTGAAGGAGACGAGTATGTGTTCATCGCAAACTCCTTCCCCTATAACTATAAATATGGGTCTCCATAAAGCCAAAAGGCATCATAAGAAGATTAGAAGAAGAGGACAAATCTTTCATAAATCAAGAAGCCATGCTCTCTAATGGTGATCCGTAAGTATTCCGCATACCATGAAGTCTTTGTTTCCAAGTGGTGAGCCGCAAGTTTTCACCCTCAAATTTGTGATCAAATTTTGGCTCTGCATTTGTGGTCAAATCCCAACAAGTAGTGCAATAATTCATACAAGTGAAGCACTCAGAGAATAATTAGAGGATTATATCTTTTAACTTAAGATTGTTCAAATATTGTAACCTACACAAATTATTAAAATACAAATACTTTTATTTGTCACTATATTTCTGGTCTTGATTATTATTTTCAGAAATAAAATTTTAGTTGTTACAAATTTTGGCACGCTCGGAAGGACTATCTTTGCCTTTCATCTCTTCTCTCCGATGATAAAATCCAAGAACACTAAGATGGCTTTCAAGAAGGTCAACTCAAAGCTTCTTTCACAAAGGCTTCCAAATCCAAATATTCTATTGCTATGAAAAATATCTTAGATGTTACTAAGGAAAGCGTGGGACCTATCACATGGAACCAATCAAATTGCTAGGATAATGAACATCTCAAGCGCAGTCCAAATCTTCTGTTGTCTTTGGTTCATCATCCTCAAAAGGCGTGAGATCCTCCACAAGAACGACTGAAAAAGAATGATGTTTCCGAAAGGATCGAAAAGGTTCTTACCCAACTTAATTTATCTGAGTCCAAAAAATCCTTTATGTAATTCGACGATAATCTCTTGAGCACTTGATCTACTGCGCATAACATATCCAAAGATCATGTTCGAAAAATCATGTTATTCTCTGTCATCTACAACGGTGATACATGCGATGATGACCAACGCTTCGTCCGTAGAGGACCAACTTGCAAACTCGATGAAAGCGATTGAAGGCTTGACCAAATATATGCAGGACCAAAACTTCCAAATTGATAAGCTGACAGATATGGCGGATAACATAATGGAAGGAGATTCTAACCCTGCACCTGGGAAGCATCCAGAAACAAAAGAGAGAATTGATTTTCCCGCATCATAAATGGTATCTTTTAAGAAAATTCCAGTCTCTTCTCAAGGGATGATTCTAATTGATCAACTAAAGCAGTTCATCATGGGGACTATAAAAGATAAGTACGAGGTTTATGTCAAATCCTCTCTTACATATGCAAAATCACACACCGTAAAGATTGATAGCTTGAAGATGCCTGGTGGTTATCAACCCCTAAGGTCTCAGCAGTTTGACGGTAAAGGATAATCAAAGCAACGTGTGGAACACTTTATAGAAACATGCAAAAATGCTAGAACAAATTGTGATTATCTCGTTAAACAATTTGCTCGTTCCCTTAAACGGGAATGCTTTTGACTGGTACATAGACCTTGAGTCTGGTTCTGTTGATACTTGGAAGCAGTTAGAGCAAGAGTTTCTCAATTGTTTCTATAGCACAAGGCACATCGTGAGCATAATTAAACTTACAAATCCCTGCCAAAAGAAAGATGAGCCAGTTATTGACTTCATCAATCACTGGAGGAGCTTAAGCCTTAACTCCAAATATCGTCTTAGTGAAACTTATAGCATCGAAATGTACATTCAAGGCATGCATTAGGGTCTTTGCTATGTCTTACAAGGCATAAAGCCTAAAATATTTGAAGAACTAGAAACTCATGCTCATGATATGAAACTATGTATGGCCACAAGTGGAGACCAAGGGCTACTTGCCTTTGATCCTTACGATGAAGAAGAAAAAGCAAAGAAGGCGAGGATGGTGGAAAGTTTTCATCCAAAAATAAAATCGAAGAGTCTATGCATGTCACTATGTTCCCCAGCCCACGATCCTAAACTACAAGTTATGATGCTCCTAAACACATGAGCCTAAACTCAAGTTATGATGCTCCTTAATACATGAGCCTACACTACAAGTTATGATTCTCCTCAACCCACCAGCCTAAATTACAAGTTATGATGGCACGAGCTTAAACGGCATGTCATAAAGCTCATTAGTTAGACACTATCCTATAAAAGAGTCTAAAGGGATAAAGGTTATTGCTAATTGTCTTCTAAGATTGCTTGATTCCTCCATATTTTCCCCCAACTCCCAACTCGATTGTCTATTGATGAAGATGGTTCTTATTGTATTAAAATTCATCATGCTCCGATTGGAGGTATCGTCTACTTACTCCGTACACTCTGCCTACTTCTTCACCAAACTTGGGTGGAAGAAGCATTGCATGTTTCGCTAAAATTAGGAAGGACTACTCCAAGTATCTTTCTCTCCAAGTTAAAAGGATAGGATGTTCCATGTGACTTGCTCTCAAGGACACAAGAGAAGTGGATGCTCCAAATATTTTTCATCAATGCCATAGGGTATAACGACCCAATCGGTAGTTTTGAGCATTTGTATTTTGTTCAATTATTTGAAGTCTTGAATAGCTTCATATGATATATTATAACTTGTGTGAATCGTCGGCTTTGGTTTTTAGGTGATTCAGGATTGATTCGGAAGAATGATTCTCAACTAGGAAGCTTTAAGCTAGAAAAGTTGACCAACTTTGACTTTTACGTATTTGACCTTGGATCCGAGATTTGATGGTCTGTTAGGTCCGGATAGTAATTTTGGACTTGGGTGTATGTCCATATTTACATTTGGATATTTCTATAAGGTTTCAGCACTATTTGGCGAAAATTGGAAATTTGAAGGTTTGGAATATTCATAAGTTTGAGTGAGAGTTTACTTCGATGTTATTGGGTTCGAATTATTGTTCCGGGAGTTGGAATAGGTACTCTATGCCATTTGAAACTTGTGTACATAGTTTGTAATCAGTACGAGTTGATTTGATATGATTCAGCACGAGTTTTGGAAGTTGAAAGTTCGAAACTTCATTAAGTTTGATTCGTGGTTCCGACATTGTTTTATGTGAATTGAGGCCTCGAGTAGGTCCGTGTTATGTTTTGGGACTTGTTGGTATATTCGGATGGGGTCTCGAGGGGCTCGGGTGAGTTTTGGATGTGGTTCAGATCATTTTGGATATTGGTTTGGGCAGGGACCTGGTGTAATCACACTTGCGGAGCCTTGGGCGCATGTGTGGAATCGCTGAAGTGGCACTTGTAGCACAGAAGCGTAATTTGGAGCTCGGGGCAGGATTCTACAAATGCAGAGTTTTCATCACATTTGCGAAGGCGCAGATGCAGAACTTTGTTCGCAGGAGCAAAGGTGGCCCGTTGTCGAGAAGTCGCAGGTGCAGGGAGCTAGGCCGAATCTGTAGAAGCACAAAAGCGGTGAGTTGGGGCGCATGAGCTAGAATATTTGCAGGAGCGGTTAGAGGCTCGCACCTGCGATGTCACAGAAGCGGGAAATTCCCGCAGGTACGAGAGGTGAAATTTCAGTGATTTTCTACAAAAGCAGAGTTTGGTCGCAAAAGCGACACCGCAGAAGCGGCAAATCTTTCGCAGATGCGAAAAATGCTAGGCAGATTGTATTTATATTTGGGGGTTGGTTCATTTTATCATATTTTAGAATTTAGAGCTCAGTTTTGGGCGATTTTGGAGAGGATTTTCACCACATGGATATGGGTAAGTATTTTTTACTCGGTTTTGATTATATTTCATGAATCTATCTTCGATTTTGGCATTTGGATTGTGAATGTTAGAGAGAAATAGGGGTTTTTGTCTAAACTTTCCTAAAGTAAACTTTTGAGTTTTGAACATCGATTCGGAGTCGGATTGGAGTGAAATTAGTATGGTTGAACTCGTATTCGAATGGATTGTCGGAATTTGTGACTTCTGTTGAGTTCCGAGGTGCGGACTCAGGTTTGACTTTTTGGTTGACTTTAGGTTTTTTATTAAAGATTTGACCTATATCGATTGGGTTTGTCTCTCATAGTTTCAAGCCATTCGGAGGTCGTTCGACCTATATCGATTGGGTTGATACGCGCGATATGACATTTCTAGAGTGTCGTTTGGCTTGATCGGTGTCCATTTTTGCTTGTTTGAGGTAAGTATCTTATCTAAACTTGGTTGAGGCACTAGTTGCCTGAATTATTTGTGATAGCT